CCTTTTCTTGTTTTTTAAAGAATTATTTTTATTGTTATTATTTTTTAAATTTGACCAGAGAAAGAGAAAGGGAAAGTGAGAAAGTAAGCTGCCAGGTCTGGGATTCGAACCTCTGTTGGCCATGTAGGAGTCCACTGTGCCACCTGCTGGCTCCTTTCCTTTTTAAAAAAGTATTATTTATTTTAATTTTTATTTATGACTTTATTTTTATTTTTATTTATGACTTTTAGGGCATGTACACGTACCAGAAAAAGAAAGAGAAAGCAAGCTGCCAGGTGTGGGACTTGGACCATGTGGTAGTCCAGCGCCTTAACCTCCATGCCATCTGCTGGTGGCACCAACATTCCTGTTTTTCCTTTCTCTTTTGGTTATAGTTCAGTTCCTATTTTGAAGTACTGTTTTTGTTAGAACTGCAGGATTCTCTAGTCTGTCCATATCTATCCTCTCTGGTAGAGACGTAGTTACTATAATACGGCGGTATAATCAAACTGTAGCTCTCTGGAAAAGACTTCATGGGGCCCATCGGTCAGATGGAAGACGGTCTGCCTTTGAGGACACAGGATCTTGTGATGTTCCACCTCCGAGCGTACCTCCCTGACTTTTCTAGACCTATTTATTTGCACGAATAGCCATCTTGTCCCTCTTTATTTATAAACTGGATTATCTAGGTGCAATCTGCATGATACCTTTGATACCTTTTTGATCCAGCTAGTACATCAGGATCTATCAAATCTTGAGGACTTTTCTGTTGTGTTTCCTGACCCTCTCCCTTCCCTTTTTCCTCCCCTTATCCCTTTCAAACATTTAGGTACTGTTGGGGATAGAAAAATGAACAGGATAGAGAGCCTGACTCCAAGGAGTTTACCTAGTGGGAGTCCCAGATAAATACTTACACTATAACATTAGAAAAAAGTACAAGCAGGTATCTGTAAAATCCTGGAGAGAAGCAGGACTTATGAGGATGGGCTGGGCTCCCTCAGGTGGAATGGGGCTGGGCTGGGCTAGGGGAAGACCAGCCACAAAGGCAGTGACATGGCGATGGTGGTGCCCCCCTGCTGCCACACCTGCGAAATGCCTCACAGTGCAAGTCTGCCCCACAGTGCTCCGTTTTTAGCCCTTGCATTTGTCACCTACCTGGTCCCATAGAGACTTCACCAATGATCCCCTCCTTCTCTGGACCCTTTTTCCTACTCTCTATTCCCATGTCCTTCAGTGGTACCAAAAGTAAGAAACAGACATTTTAGGGCTTTAAAGGGCAAATGTACTTTCATTTTACTCTGCTTTCCTAATCGAATTTGATGTTAGAGTGGCCTTTCTCTTCTTAGAAGAGGCATTCTCTTTAGATGTATGCATATTCCAACATTATCATGTAAGTTACTCTGTTAAAAATCAGAACTATAGAAACATTCAAAATCTAAAGCAGGGGGCTAGACAGTGGTACAGCAGCAAAATGTGACGCAGTGTGAGACTGACCCGCGGGGAAGCACCGGCTTCCTATTAGGCTGGAGACTGTTGTGACATCAAGACGCAGCTGGGGTATGTGTGCTTAGGCATGCCCTTTCTCTCCCATAAAAGAAAGACACGTAGAGGCCAAAAAAGACCAAGGGGTAGAGGAGAAGGAGAACTTTATGAGTGTAGAAGTGATGGAACCTGGAGGCTTAGGGCCAGGGACACTTGGGCTGGATTGTATAGGACCTCGAGTATTGTATTTGGGAGTTTGGACCTGGGCTTGTTCTCGGGCTAAACCCTGAGGTTACACATTGGCTATCCTTTGACAGAGCTGCTTCTTATGACTGCTGCATTATGGCTTTTTCTTCCTTTCTTTCTTTCTTTTTCTCTCTCTTTTTTTTTTTTTTTTTCTTCTTTTTTTTTTTTTTTTTTTTTTTTTTTTTTTTTTTTGCCATTGCGCATGCGTATTTGCTGGAGAGACAGAGAGAGAGAGAGGAAAAAAAAGTGAGAAATCGCTTCCCATAGGGGATGGCCACACTGCAATCCCTTTTCCTCCATTCTCAGGATTTGAGTACCTGCACATAAGTGCTTCAAGGCATTGGGTCTGGGACTCAAACCATAGACAGCCATGTGGGAGTCTGGTGCCCAAACTACTATGCCACCTGCTGACCTGCCCACTGTGTACTTGAATACTGGAATTCCCCACTATCAAACCTACAGTATTATTCTATCCATTTCCCTTGGTTTATTTGTTTACATTCTTTACCTGACCCCTAAAAGTCATGGAATTTATTTATTTATTTATTTATTTATTTATTTGAGAGGTTTTTGTTCTAGGAAGCGTGTGCTCACCAGAAAGACAGAGAGACAGAAGTGAGAAATCGCTGTTCAGGGGGTGATTGCCCCACCGCAATCCCTTCTCCTCCATTCTCCTCTCAGGATCTTGGGTACACACACACGCGCCTGGCATGAGTTAAAGCCACCGGGTCCGGGGCGCGAACCACGGTCGACTACGTGGGAGTCCAGCAACATAGCCATTATGCTAACTGCTGGTCCCAAGGTCATGGAATTTCTAACCCCTGGTGGGTATAACCATTAGGTTATGAGGCCAAAGAAAAGCTTTACCAAACCATCTGTGTGATGCAGCAAATACCCTGTTTGCACATCTTTTACATTTTCCCATAAACAGATTTAAAAGTCAGGATTTCATGATATAGTCTGAGTGGAAGGCAGGAG